GATGTACATGCCAGACTGATTGTAATCTTTTGTGAGTTTTATTATTAAGTAAGAGACTGTTTCTTTCCGCTCCTATGAAAATTTGATCAAAATTCTTATTATTGATCCTGCATTGAACAAGTTTTCATGACTTGTGTACCGCAATGATTATGAACTTATAACTACTTTATGAAACCAGACAGACAGACAGACCGATACAACGTGGTGGTCGGGCTCGCCTATCGTGACCACTCAACCGAGCTATATTGGTTGGAAAATATGTTCCTGAGGGCAGGTCGATTGGTGAACGATGAGACTAAAAGCAGCTACTCACGGTCTGAGGGTGAGGTCATACTACTGACTGATGGAGGGGTGAGACAGCAGTAAGGTGTTTCCGATGGACAACCAGCATCTGCAGCGATGCTGCCTTCTCACAAGGAAGAAAGAGTTAGAAAAGGTCGACCCTAAAGATGCCACGCCTCACCCTACCTCACGGATTTCCGTCTCCGGTGGTAAGGTCATCCCATTAAGGACTTTTAAGAGCGGAGCTAACACTCAAAAAGCCTTTCATAAGAAGGCCGTGCGTGACTGGCCTCAAGCAGTTGTCCTTCGGGCTCTGCGTCCGTGCTCTCAGGTCTCTAAGACCAACGCCAATCTACTTTCCTTTTCAGGTCCCTCAAGAAACAACCTTCCACGGTGTGGGCAGCCGGGAAGTAACAACCACCCTGATCCCCGTAACAGCACACGAGACCGAATTGGTCGAAATCAAATCCTTATGAAACCAGATAGTTAACTTATTGAAAACAATTGTACACTTCAGTATTCTTGATGAAACAATTCTATTTCAAATAAGAAACTATCGATTGCTGTGTCATAAACGGCCACTGACAACTAGATTGAGTCATGTTGGTAAGTGTTGACTATCTGGTTGAGGTCCACGAGATGATAGTTGTTATAGTTATCTCTCTTCAATTCAACCGAGCTATTCATAGTAGTGCTTAGTATTCTCTGACACCAATTCACTGGAAACGTTCTCTCAAAATCAGAACACGACTTGAACACGAAATAAAGATTATATTCCAATAACACAGTTAGATGGAATACAGAAGGTCCAGAGGAAAAACAGACGTTAGTATATTTATAGTTTTCTTACATTAGAAGATCCCGACCGTAGCTGCTACCTTGACGTGGTGGTCGAGCTCGGCTATCGTGACCCCTCAACCGCGCTATATTGGCTGGAACATATGTTCCTGCAGGTCCTACCATGCCAGGCAGGTCGATTGGAGAACGATGAGACTAAAAGCAGCTACTCAGTAGGTCTGAGGGCGAAGTCGTACTGCTGACTGACTGTGGAGGTGTGTGACAGCAGTAAGGTGTTTCCGTTGGACAACCAGCATCTGCAGCGACGCTGCCTTCTCACAAAGAAGGGAGGGGTTAGAAAAGTTCGATCCTAAATATGTCACACCTCACCCTGCCTCACGGATTTCTGTCTCCTTGGGTAAGGGTGCCCACTAAGGGCTTTTAAGAGCGGAGCTAATACTCAAACAACCCCTCATAAACAGGTCGTGCGTGACCGGCCTCAAGTAGTTGTCCCTTGGGCTCTGCGGTCACGCACCAACACTAATCCATCTTCCTTTTCAGGTTCCTCAAGAAACAACCTTCCACGGTGTGGGCAGCCGGGAAGTGACAACCGCCCTCATATCCGTAACAGCACGCGAGACTGACTGACATTAAGAAGATGCTACAATGTTCCCTCAGTATTGGAGGACTAGCGCTGATTGGATGGATACGAAAGAGTCAGTCAGCGTGCAACAACAACAACATCAACGCTATCATGCTTTAATCCAATCTATGTCTCACTAACACTACTAAAACAATAATTAGATATCTTGAATAAAATGATATGGCTCAAAAATTGTTTGTAAATAGCGTAAGTACATTCATTAATTTTTTATTTTGGACTTCACTTAAATTCTAATCCTCTCAAAAAATTCAACATCACATTTATCTTTCTCCTTTATTTTTTTTTTCCCTTAAAGTTCATTATTTCACTGGTTTTTGATTCTTCTTCTTCGAACGAACTCTTATCATTTTTGCGATTACTGTTAATAAATAATTCTAGTCTATACCCTCTTGCTACTACTGTGGTGCGCACTACTTATAAGTAGTATAAGACGGGAGTAAAAACGTAATGTCTGGCAGCAGCATAAGATGGGGGAAGATCAAGAAAGCAAGAAGAGTGGGAACACAATGGAATTTGTATGAAACGCATGAATAGTGACAATGGATTGATGTTTTACAACAGGAACAGTCCAGTTCGATATGATAAACTGATATTTTGCAAATGAACGATTTACGATATGGTTTTCCGATTTTACCGGTTGCCCCACCTGTGTTCTCCTTCACTACACTACTACTACTAATACTACTACTACTACAAGATTTCAATTGATTGAATGAAACGATAATAATAATAATAATAATAATAACCTGCATTTTTCTTACATGTAATATATCCTTCCATTCCGGATCAACAATTGATTCATTCAAAATGGAATCAGTGAAATTGGTTAATGGATAGTTTAATTTGTTCGGATCAATCAAATTCGATTGATCATGTTTTTGATCGTTTCTGACAGCTGATGATGCTGCTGCTGATGATGATTTAATCATAGGTGGATTAGATTTTTTACAATGAGACATTATATTCATTGGATTTTTTTTCACTAGTGCATCAACGCATCGATGATGTTTATAGACATGAAAACCTATGAAATTTGAAATGGATTATTTTTATTTTAGTTTTTTGTTTAAAGAAAATAAGAATAAAATAAAACAACATCTGTACAACACAACTGGGTTTGTCTGTGTGAATGTGTGTGAAGAATTACAACCAACTACTACTACTACTACTACTACTACTACACAAAAAATTACAAGATTATTGATCAATTCCTATTGGTCAATTTTATGGTCGTCCTAGTAGATATCAATGTCACGTGCTCCAATGTTGTTTCTTATTGGTTGTGTCCTGACTATCAATGTCACTTCAAATGTTGCTTCCTATTGGTCGTCTTAATTGTCAATGTCATAGACTTCGATGCTGTTGCCTATTCGACCAAAATGTATAAATACGCATTATCTGTAACGTTTTATGACCACGACGAGGGCTCGGTCCTGGATCCTGATTCTCTTCTGGATTCGGACCTCGTACTTTCTGGATGCTTGTAGAATACAGATTCTACTTCATATCACGTCTTCTTATTTTTACTAAATATGGGGGGGGGTTGGGATAATCGGATTTGAGTAGCCTATCGTGTCACCGGATTTCGACCAATTTGGTCTCGTGTGCTGTTATGGGTATGAGGGCGGTTGTCACTTCCCGGCTGCCCACACCATGGAAGGTTGTTTCTTGAGGGACCTGAAAAGATAGATTAGTGTTGGTCTTGGAGACCTGGGAGCGGGACCGCAGAGTCCAAGGGACAACTGCTTGAGGCCGGTCACAAACGGCCTTTTAATGAAGGATTCTCTGAGTATTAGCTCCGCTCTTGAAAGCCCTTAGTGGGCACCCTTAACACCGGAGACGGAAATCTTTGAGGTAGGGTGAGGTGTGACATTTTTAGGGTCGACCTTTTCTAACCCCTCCCTTTTTTGTGAGAAGGCAGCATCGCTGCAGATGCTGGTTGTCCAACGGAAACACCTTACTGCTGTCACACACCTCCACAGTCAGTCAGCAGTACGACTTCGCCCTCAGACCTACTGAGTAGCTGCTTTTAGTCTCATCGTTCTCCAATCGACCAGCCTGGAATGGTAGGACCTGCAGGAACATATGTTCCAGCCAGTATAGCTCGGTTGGGTCATCACGATAGGCAAGCCCGACCACCATGTCAAGGTAGCAGCTACGGTCGGGGTGGAGGATATATATGTAGGCTGATACATTGCCACATTACGCACTGGAAACTCTTATTGTTAGTAAATGAGTCAGATTTTCAAGTAAACAAAACTATTTAAGCACAGGTGTCATTGACGCTTACATTAGAAAATTATCTAATTATAGAACAGGTTTTTTTTTTCTTCTCAAAAGGCCAATCATGAAAAACTGGGGTTGATTGATGAGTTGCAATTTTTTTTTATCGTACAAACAAATCCACCTTGATTACAACATACATATTTCACATTATTTCTTGATTTCTTTTTTTTTCTAACTAAGATCGTTTTTATTTGTTATGCTTGAATTTATGGATCACAAACGAATCGAATCGAAGTTAGAAAATTCTATATTGACAGATTGAAAAAGCAACATTAGACTGTCTAGTTTATTATGCTTAGTATAGGATTACTACTCCTCTACTACTGTGGTGCGCGCTACTTATAAGTAGTATATGACGCGTGTGTAAACGTAATGTCTGGCAGCAGAAGATGGGGGAACATCAAGAAAGGAAAAGTTAGAACACAATGGAATTTGTATGAAACGCATGAATGAGTGAAATGTCAGACAATGGATCGAAGATTCGAAAATTTCACCGTTTACGATATGGTTTTCCTATTTTACTGAGTAACTCTGTAATTTTCGTTAAATACAATTCGGTTGCCCTCACCTGTGTGTTCTCCTTCACTACACTACTACTACTACTACTACTACTACTACTACAACAAATGTCACAATCCATAATTGTACTAAGAACCAGTTTGTTACAAGTGCAACACAGTTCAGTGTCTCTTTAATAACCATTCACAGTCACAATGGAATGGTTTAGTCAATAGTTTTGGTTTACTCAAACCACACAGCATGGTTTTTGTGTGCATTGTTGAGCAGTCATCAGTTAGTTGTGTACTAGTGTAGTGAACGAGAACACATGTGGGGCAACCGGATCGCATTTAACGGAAATTACAGTTACTCAGTAAAATAGGAAAACCATATCGTAAATCGTTCATTTGCAAATTATCAGTTCATCATATCGAACTGGACTGTTCCTGTTGCAAAACATCAATCCATTGTCACTATTCATGCGTTTCATACAAATTCCATTGTGTTCCCACTCTTCTTCCTTTCTTGATCTTCCCCCATCTGCTGCCAGACATTACGTTGACACTCACGTCATATACTACTTATAAGTAGCTCGCACCACACTAGGAGTAAAATGAAACATACACACATACTCATCCAATCGAATTCTATCATGTTATAATGTCAATCAAAATGTAATATATAATGTCTGTACAAAAAAAACACAAATTCGCACTTGAATATGTATAGTTTTTGTCAATTCAGTGCGTTATATTTTGTCCAATAGACAGACAAAGAGACAGATATACAACGCAGAACTTCGTACGTACGTACGTGCATCAGTTCAGGTTGTCCCATACCACATCAGCACAGAGACGTAACTGTCAGTTCAAATCCAAGAGTCATAGTAGTGATAGTAGAATTATTAGCAACAATGGAGAAGAAAGATTAGGGTGCAAAAAAATGATATGATATAATTCAGTGAGATAAATTTAGAAGGAGAAATATGGAGATGATGAGGAGGAGCTCAGAAGGTTAGAATTACAGAGAGAGAACACAAAGAGTGGATACACCTGCGTCACATTGCAAACGATTCTCTAAGCCATGTCGTTGTTAAAGATCTCTCTAACCATTGGTGACTATCGGTCTCGCGGATCCCAACCACGTAGCCTCCTACATCAGTCCACTTGTCAGTAACTTCTGTCAGTAATTTCTGCCATGTTTTTTGGTTTGGCCGCGCAGCCCCCCCCACCCGCTAACTTTCTTCCAACCTACTCTTCTTACATTACAAAACATAGCTCGTCGAGGCAGTCGGTGGTTATATAGTGTTGCGAAACACACACACACACACACAAAATGTATATGAATATAAACAAGGTAAATAAAAATATCAAATAGTGTGTGTGTGTAAGTAATACAAATGAATTATGTACACTAAATAACACATACTTTTGGAATATTTTTCATTGAATGATTCTTTGGTTGACAATGAAGACGAAGTAGAAGAAGAACTACTACTACTTCTACTACTACTACTAGACAACGAATGTGAACCAGTTTTGATAGAATTTTTATTACAAATAACTCTAAAATCAAAGCCATAAAAAAAACATGATTTATTCCAATTTCTATGCATATTTTTTAATGTCAATGTAAGTAAGATGCACAGTGAAGAAGTAATAATGACTTTTATTAATTCAATGAAGTCTAAGTGGTGGTGATAGCGGTAAACTATGATGATGATGATTGAAGGCAACAGTAAATAACACGACTAAAATCAATCATACTGCGGTACAGACAGTTGAATCTAGAAAGTTTTTGGAAGCATTGATAAACGGCCGTTGCATCATTCTGGTATGGTACTCATATTAGCAGTGTGCATTTTACGCAACCTGCCACTTGCAGGATTCGAACCCAAGACCTTCGGTCTTGAGCACGAACACCTAACAACATTGAAGTCTGATCAATCTAAGAATTTTGCGCCATCTCATCTATTTTGTCTTCGGTAATTACTGTCTACACCCGACAAGGTTGAACTCCACTGGTCACGTCTTCTCATTAGAAATTCGAAAATTTCTTCACGAACCTGGTCACACTAGTTAAGTGTCATTTCACCACATTTCTTATTTGACTATGATACCATCTAGTTGCTTAAACCAAAGTAGCTGAAGAAGAGTTCGAATCCGTAACTTACTTATTGATGAGAAGTTTACCATTTAGATAACAGGTCAATCATAGCACTGGTTGGTGAGGACTGGAGCCATATGTGAAACATTGGAAATGCGTCACATAAGTGACATGGCTCAAAATCGTTCGCAATGGCGCAAGTGCATTTATTCTTTGTGTTCTCTCAAACCCTAATCTTCTGGATTCTTCAACACCTCTAGTTTCGACTCTCTAAACTTTTCTCACTGAATCATACTTCTTGAATAGTATCTTCTAATTCTAACCTCTCCGATTACTTCTAATTCCCTTACTACCTCTACTACTATTGGATTTGAATTGACAATTATATCTCTGTGCTGACGTGGTATGGCAACATGAACTGATGTACTTCTGTACAAAGTTCTACGTTGCATCTGACTGACTGACTGACAAAAGTGAGTTTCAAACACAATAAAATATATAGGAGGAGCCTGGGATTTTATTAACCAAGTTAAACTACTTAGCATATGTATAAGTTATAAGAAAAACTTAAAGCCAGAACTTAGCTTGAAATCATAAAAAAATATTTGAGTATTAAATCATTACTTATCCTTATTTGAGTTTTTTTTCAGTGCAAACTATCTATTTAAACAAAGATGCGCCGAAATGTTTATGATTTCAATATCGCTTAGCAGTAATAAGAATTTATCACAAATAAATTAAGTCGCTAACAAATTAGGTGTTTCATCTATTAACCTACTTACTTAGGGCCTGTTACTCCAATAGTGCATAGGCTGCCGATCAGCATTCTCCAACCTACTGTCTCCCGAGCTTTGCTTTTTTTTCAGTTCTACACAACTGCTACTCATCCTGCTTATGTCTACCACCAATTTTCGGCCCAGTATGTGTTCTTTGGTCTTTTCAACTTCTTTTGCCTTGGGAATTCCAAGTTAGGATTTGCCTCGTGATGCACTCGAGTGCTTTTTCCTTAATATATATCCTATACCCCTTTAGCGCCGAATCCTAATATCGTGGACATCTGGAATCTGCTTTGTTCTCTACGAGAGTATGTTGTTACTGATGATGTCTAGGCAACGGATCTAAACTATCTTTCATAGACAACTGTTAACAAACACTTGTGACTTCTGGATGATGGCTTTTGTGGTTTCCTGAGTTTCCGCTACATACAGTAGAACTGTCAGTCAGTTAGTGACAACGTAGAACTTCGTACGTACGTACGTACGTAAATCAGTTGAGGTTGCCATACCATACTAGCACAGAGATGCAATTGTCAGTTCGAATCCCATAGTAAAAGTATTACCGGTAATGGAGAAGATTAGGGTTCGAAGATATTATTCAAGAAGTATAATTCAGTGAGATAAATTTAGAAGGAGAAAGGGATGATGAGGGATTCAGAAGATTATAATTTCATAGAACACAACGAATGGATGCACCCGCGACATTGCAAGCGATTTTGAGACACGTCGTTCAAGGTCTCAAACCATCAGTTACTATTATCTCGCGGACCCATACCAGGTAGTGTGCATCTACCAACATGAACCAAGCAACTTGTCAGCGATGATATGCTCGTCAATTGATATGCTTGAAACAATTACGAGTTCTCCAGACCGTAGATGCTACCTTGACGTGGTGGTCGGGCTTACCTATCGTGATCACTCAACCGAGCTATATTGGCTGGAAGCAATCAACACGCTCGACTATTTCACTCCCTATCACTAGTTCAGGTGCCGATGCAACCCAGTCTTGAAGCAACATTTTGCATTTCGAGGGGGAAAACCGCACCCCGAACATGCTTGCATTGCTGCTCAGCGTAGTCAGAAGATTCTCCATTTTGCCAGCTTCTTCACCGAATAGAACTATGTCATTGGCATATTCTAGGTCAGTAAGCGATTTTCCTAGTAGAAGATCAACCCCTGAAAAATTTGACGAGAATAATGTTAACTCTAAGAGGATGTCTACGACAAAGTTAAACAAGAATGGAGAGAGTGGACATCCCTGACGGACACCACTTGAAGTAAAGAATTCCGCTGACAGTTCGCCATAAGCTCTCACTCGACCAGTGGTGTTCGAGTAGAGAGCTTGTATAAGGTTAATGTACTTCTTTGGCACACCTTTCAATGACAGGCACTGCCACAGAACTTCACGATCCACCGAGTCGAATGCCGCTTTAAGGTCCAGGAAGACAACTATTGTAGGACGCTGAAATGTGTGTCTGTGTTCTAGGACCTGTCGTAGTGTGAAGATGTGGTCTATACAACCACGTCCGGGTCGAAAACCAGACTGGTTTTCTCGAGTCTGCTCTTCACGAGCACTAGTAAGGCGTCTAAGTATAATCGAGGCTAACAATTTAGAAACTATATTAGTTAGACTGATTCCCCTGTGATTGTCACAAGAAGACTTTTGTCCTTTCTTGTAGATTGGGACAATTAGCGACTGAGACCAGTCAGATGGGATTACGTCCAGTTCCCAGTTTCTACCTAAGATCTCGGTCATTCTAACTGCTAAAACTGGACCACCATCCTTAAATATCTCAGGGGTCAGTCTATCAGGACCTGCTGCTCTACCTCCCTTTAGATTTCCTATAGCTTTCTCAACTTCATGTAGACTGGGAGGACTTAAATCGATTTGCCATTCAGGATGACTGGGGATCGTGGGTAACCGAAGAGTGACTCGAGGCCAGTTGAACTGATCCCTAAAGTGTTCTGCCCATCGATTCAATCTCCTGGATTGAGAATGGATAATAAGACCATCCTTTTCCGAGATAGTCTTACTTACACTAGGATTCCTAATACCAGTTTCCTTGAAAAGTTGGGAAAGCTGTCTACTGTTGCCCATCGCCGCTGCCTTTTCCATCGCTTTTGCTTTCGCCACCCACCACCGTTCGCAGTCGTTACGTAGGCTTTTCATAAGTCTGCGCCTAAGTTGACTTCGTTCTTCATCATGTTCAGAGCCAGGTGGGATGAGTTTTCGGGCATCCATCAGATCGGTGGATGCTATTGAGATCCACGGCTTCATTCTAGCCTTATGGTTTACCTTACTCGCAGATATCACTGCTGTTTCCACAGCCTATTTTAATATCATCCCAACTTGCCTCCGGATGGGAATCACATACATGGTTGCCTAACTCTCTTTCTAGTTGCTTCTGAAATATATTCTTAGCTATGCTGTCATTGAGTAGAATCCTAACAGGTTTTCCTGATGGTGCCTTTCCTATGTTCAGTAAGTCGCAAACAAATACGCGCTAACACTAGAACAGGATGTGAATCGAAAAATGTGCGACGGAACGAGACACAGTCCTATATCAAACCTCCATTGATGGCTGATTGCGATGTGATCTGGTTGGGTCCAACGTTGTGACGACTTTGGACGTCGCCAGATCAACAGATGTTTTTCCTTATGCCTAAAGTTCGTGTTTTCTAGAAATAGGCGGTCATCTGAGCATAGTTGCAACAGACGGTCACCATTGTCTGTTCTCTGAGCTGCGACACCATAACATCCACATAGGTGTCTTTCATTTTCACCTAATCTACCTACCTGAGAATTAAAGTCACCAGCCATTATTACTACGTCAGAGCGCCTAACGTTTTGGAGGAGGTCCGAAAGCTTTCTTTAGAATTCATCTGTCACATCGTCTGAACTGCAGTCAGTATGAGCGTAGGCAGATATGATGAAGAGGCAACGGCGAGTGTCCCTATCTTTCCGAGTCCCTACTGTCCCGTTAAGTCGGACAGCGAACAATTGACTATCTACTGGGATACAGTCTAGGGGCGATAGTTCTGCCCTACGATTCAATGCTATACCCACACCAGTGAGACCCCGGGAAGCAGCATCAGAGCCGCCGGATACACGAAGAGTAAAGCGGGCTGCTTTTTTGTTTTGATAAGGTGCACGCAGCAAACATCGATGGAACGAGATTCTAATGTCCTGGCTAAGGAAGCCTGTTCCAATATTTGACACAGTGTACGCTCATTAAAAGCACCAACATGTAGTCTAGAATGGGGTTTCAGGAGACCAGGAATAACTTTTCGTGAACTCGAATCGTTTTCATTAGCGGTGCAGTGAGATAAGGGAATGCGAGTAGAGTTATTCGTGGAGATAAGAGAGATATTAAGGGGTGTACAAAGGATTTGATTTTGACCAATTTGGTCTCGTGTGCTGTTACGGGTATGAGGGTGGTTGTCACTTCCCGGCTGCCCACACCGTGGAAGATTGTTTCTTGAGGGACCTGAAAAGGAAGATAGATTAGCATTGGTCTTGGAGACCTGAGAGCACGAACGCGGAGCCCGAGGGACAACTGCTTGAGGCCGGTTACGCACGGCCTTCTTATGAAAGGCTTTTTGAGTGGTAGCTCCGCCCTATTAAAGCCCTTAATGGGCTGACCTTACCACCGGAGACGGGAATCTATGAGGTAGGGTGAGGTGTGATGTTTTTAGGGTCGACCTTTTCTAACCCTTTCTTCCTTGTGAGAAGGCAGCATCGCTGCAGATGCTGGTTGTCCGAGGGAAACACTTTACTGCTGTTACACCTCTCTACAGTTAGTCAGCATTATGACTTCGCCCTCAGACCTTGAGTAGCTACTTTTAGTCTCATCGTTCTCCAATCGACCTGCCTGGCATGGTAGAACCTTCAGGAACATATGTCCAGCCAATATAGCTCGGTTGGGTCTTGACGATATGTAAACCCGACCACTATTTCAAGGTAGCAGCCTCGGTCAGGCGAGGTAGTTGGGACATGTGTTACCTATGCCTAACCACCGACTGCCTCGTTGAGCTATGTCTTGCGATGTAGGATTAGGCTGGAAGAAAGCTAAGGGAGGCCAGACCAAAACATGGCAGAAATCCACGAAGTCACCGACAGGTGGACTGAGTCATGTCGGTAGGTGTCGACTACCTGGTTGGGGCTCGTGAGATGATGGTAATCGATGGTTAGGGACCCTGAATGACACGGCTTGAAACTGTTTGCAATTGCGCAGGTGCATTCATAGTTTGTGATTTCTCGAATCCTAACCATCAGAGTTCCTCAACAGCTATATCTTTGTCTTTTTAAGTTTATTTCACTGAATAATATCTTCGAACCGTAATCTCTCCAATTACTGTTAATACTTCTAGTACATCCTACTACTATGAGATTTGAATTGACAATTGCATGTCTGTGCTAATGTGGTATGGCGAATACAACTTGTGTACTTACGTACTAGGTTCTACGTTGCTGTTGATGATGATGATGATGGAAGGAACATATATTCCAGTCAATCAAGGTCGGTTGTGTCATGATGATAGGTATGCCCGACCACCAAGTCAAGGTAGCAGCCACGGTAGGGGATTAATAGGTTACTAGTACTTGATCATAGATGTCTTAGAAGCACTGCTCGTATATCCTGGGACCACCGAGTAAGTAATGCTGGGGTTAGGAAAAGGGTACTAGGTAAGGGTGGAAGATCGACTGATGAAGTAGTGAAGTTCAACAGCTGAGACCTGTGTTACGTATGCGTAAATACTGACTGCCTGGACGAGAGATGTTATCTGGTATAGAAGTACGTTGGAAGGAAGCTAGAGGTAGCCAAACCAAAACACGGTACAAATCCGTGAAGTAGTTGACCATTAAACTGAGCCACGTTAGTAGGTGTAGACTAGTGGGTTGGGGTCTGCAAGAAGATAGTAACCGATGGTTAAAAACTTGGAATGACATGGCTCAAAGTTATTGGCAATGGCGCAGATGCATCTATTCTCTGTCTCCACCTAAGTCCTAATTTTCTGAATTCCTTATCACCATCTTTCTCTTTTCAGATTTCTTTCACTGACTTCGTGGGCTCCATTTTTGGAGCTATGTATTTAGTTGTGGTCAACGCTCTTTCAAAATGGCCAGAAATCAGCCCTGTAACGCTGCCTACTGCAGCTAAAACAATACAGCTCCTCACTGAAATTTTTCCTTCGAAATAGCATACCAGATATGATTGTATCTTACAACGGGTCGCAATTTACCTCTACTCAATTCCAAGCTTTCTGTCACCGGCTAGCCATCAAGCATTTATGGTCGATACATAACATGCGCAGTCGAATGGGCAAGCAGAATGGTTTGTGGATACACTTAAAAAGAGCATTAGTTAAGTCAAAAGGGGAGAAGACAAAAAGCTGACGCGTTACAAAAAACTTCTTATTGAACAACACCAATGAGACATTACGGGACCAAAGGTCCCCAGCAGATATCCTGATGGGAAGAAGAAGACTGAAAACGATCATCCACAGCTTGATGCATCCGAATAATGCATCAACACCAGTAAAGACAAAGTCGGAAAGGCAATCCACGCAAGAAGTGGGATGAATAATTTCTTCGAACCCTAATCTCTTCGATTACCGCTAATACTTCCTACTACTACTACTATGGGATTTGAATAGACAGTTTCATCTCTGTGTGCTAATATGATATGTCGACTTGAATTGAGTTCCAGTTTTTTAAGTTGTATCTTAATTACTGACTGACTTTCACTTTGCAGGTTTATAAATAAAGAGACTTGAGTGTATGAAAATTTCGAATAATATGAGCTGAACAAGAGACAGAAAAAAAAAATATATATATACTTACTCTCTATGTTTGTGATTAACATCGGTAGGGTCACTTTCATTTCGCAGTCTACATTTACAACATTTCTCATTACGACGATTACGGTGACAATGATTTGTATCAGATGATGAAGAGGCTAGCATGCTACTACTACTACTACTACTAGTAGTAATATTTCTTTTAATCTGTTGATAACTAGATGATGAGTTAACTGATGATAACTTAGACAATGAATGTTCACAATTTAATCCAGTTGTATTCGGTAAATGTATCGATGATAATCGTGGAATTTTGATATTTATTGACAGACCATCAGATGAATCACCACCACCACCCGCACCACCTGCACCAGAATTATACACACTATCCATTGGTCTCCATAATTCATAAGCATGTTTCTCATGAACAGATGATTTACGTCTATTTATACGTGATAATAATGACCTACCACCACTACCACCACCTTTAAAATAAACTAAATCACCATGATCTGCATCTTCAATGTCAGCATCATGTGATGAAGAAGCATCACTATCATAATTATTATCTGATGATCCAGTCACTGATAGCATTGATGATCCGGAAGAATAACGTCCAATCGTTTCAATATGATCGGAACTTAATGATTTAGGCAATAACGGATGTGATGTATAGGAAATTAATGATGAAAATGGTTTAGTTTGTAAATTTAAAGCATCTATCGATAAAGAGACATGCTGTAATGATTCTATGTTTGCTGTTGTAGATGTTGATAATAATAAAGAGGATGACGAGGATGATGACGATGCTGATGCTGATGATGATGATGGTAAATTTACCGATGGTTTCAAGTAAACAGCTGTAGTAGAATGTTCTAATTCCATGATTGTATCCAATTCAATCTTGTCTGGTTGCCATTTGCGTTTTGAACCTGTTGTAATGGGTGGGCTGAAGAGGAGACATAGAAAAATAAAAATACGTAGGAAATGAAGAAAAGATATTTAGAATTCGGCCTGTAAACACTACGGGGCTACTGCCGGTCCCAAGACCGGATAAAAGAGGAGGGTTGAGATTGAGGTTGGCGATCCCATCTCGCAAAAAAACCCAACTAGCTACAAAAATTGACAAGAATATTAATTCAAACCACATAAACCCTGCTCCGGGAGTTAGTAGGTCTTCATTTAGAAGAGTTATGATGTCTCATGATAAAAGCTGAGTTCCTTCGGAGGTCACGAGGTTGATGCGCCTTTCGACAACCACAACCCTTCCATGGTGTGGGCAGCTGGGAAGTAACATCCACACTCATACCCGTACGGGTATGTCGGTTGTCGGAAGGGGCTTCAACCTCGTGACCTCCGAAGGAGCTTGGCTTTCATCATGAGACATCAAAGGTCTTCTAAATGAAGACCTTCTAACTCCCGGAGCAGGGTTTATGTGGTTTTAATTTAACCACCAAACATGAAGTATGTCAGCTATAAAAGAGATAGAATCTTATTCTCACCGATTACATATTATGCTGCAAAATACGCTTACCGATCATCGAATGTGGATTCTGATTCTGTTCTATTCTTAGATTTTGCATGTCTGGTACGAAAATGTCGATGCTGTCTATTGATATTGAGACTGGCAGTTAAACGAGCAACTCCATGACTTAAACGAGAAATGGCACGTGCAGTAACAGGATCGTGACGAAGTAAACAGTGATGATTAGAAATTGGTGGATTCATGAATGTGGTCTAGTTATTCATGTGATATTATTGAAGACCTGTAAAAGCATAATAGGATGAAAAGTTAATAAATTTACGAACGCAAGATGGTATAAAAACAATTACCCATGTGACTAATACATACAGCAGCATACAATCATGCGAAATATTGTATGCGAACTGTCAGTTAGTCATTGACATGGTATGAACTGACACCAATGTTTATTGCTTCAACATTTCATACCTCACTTAGATGAAACTTGTCAGATGTATAGGATGTGGAATGAATAACAGTGAGGATTAAAAAAATGGAGGATACCATTCTGAGCGATATGGGAAGTGGTATGAAATAATAATAATAATAAACTTTAAGGTCAGTTAGAATAAAAACTGTGTGCATCTATGGTGATGATGATTGCAAGAACTCAAATTAGGTAACTAGTACTTAGTCAGTCAGTCAGATGCAACGTAGAACCTCGTACGTAAGTACATCAGTTCATGTCGCCATACCACATCAGCACAGAGAAGTAATTGTCAATTCAAATCCAATAGTAGTAGAGGTAGTAAGGGAATTAGAAGTAATCGGAGAGGTTAGGATTAGAAGATACTATTCAAGAAGTATGATTTAATGAGAAAAGTTTAGAGAGTTGAAACTAGAGGTGTTGAGGAATGCAGAATATTAGGATTTGAGAGAACACAAAGAATACATGCACCGGCGCCATTGCGAACGATTTTGAGCCATTCAAGGTCTCTAGTACTTAGTAAACTCTTGAGATTCGCAGTTCATGACATCATGTAACAATACGACACTGAGATTAAGGTATTGACAGCCACTTTCAATTTCTACGCAAGCAATGATAGTTCAATTTAAGAGGAACTATATCAGGATTGGAATAATTTTCGACTTACGCTGCAACATTTTAAATCTGTAGAGTGAAAGACGATTCAGCATAAAAGTTACACAAGAATAATGACTATAATGTTTAAAATTATAGATAACTAGAGTAAATACCGGATAATATGCTAATATGACTAGTATCAGGATAAGTTGTAAATAACATGATCACAAAGATTTCAAGTATTATACAAGAAGAATATTACCATAACTGACCCAACATGACAAACTTCGTGTCTGTTTGAGTATCTAGTCACAGGGGTTTCTTTATTTGAGCAATTTAGCCACAACATCCACATTTACTTCATAGTTTGAACTAAAATTAATGGATTTTGTGAGATGATCTTAAAACAGGATGTTAGGATAGAATTTTAGTGTTTTTGATACATCTGTAAAGGCGAGGTTTCCGATCACAATATGAGGAACATCTACTACTTATTGTTGTATATTGTTTCCCGACCGTAGCTGCTACCTTGACGTGGTGATCGGGCTTGCCTATCGTGATGACCCAACCGAGCTATATTGGCTGGAACATATGTTCCTGCAGGTCCTACCATGACAGCAGGCACGTCGATTGGAGAACGATGAGACTAAAAGCAGCTACTCAAGGTCTGAGGGCGAAGTCATAATGCTGACTAACTGTAGAGAGGTGTGACAGCAGTAAAGTGTTTCCCTCGGACAACCAGCATCTGCAGCAATGCTGCCTTCTCACAAGGAAGGAAGAGTTAGAAAAGGTCGGCCCTAAAAATGTCACACCTCCCCTACCTCACGGATTTCCGTCTCCTTGGGTAAGGGTGCCCACTAAGGGCCTTCAAGAACGGAGCTAATCCTCTAAATACCTTTCGTAAAAAGGCCGTGCTTGACCGGCCTCAAGCAGTTGTCCCTTGGGCTCTGCGGCCACGCACCAACACTAATCCATCTTCCTTTTCAGGTCCCTCAAGAAACAACCTTCCACGGTGTGGGCAGTCGGGAAGTGACAACCGCCCTCATACCAGTAACAGCACGCGAGATCAAATCCTTCCTGACTGACTGTATATTGTTTAGAAAGGTTGGTTGATCTAGGTTCTGTTATTATTGAAAATTATTTTCACAGCAAATAGAGGACTTCTACCTGACGAGTCTTGTGGACCGAATTTGGCTCACTAACGGCATTGAGAAGCATTCATAAAATGTTTTTTATGAATTATCATAAGCTGAGCATAGACTGTATTATTATTAGATAACTGGGGACACGGAAAATAAGTGTTTGGAATAGAAAACTTTGAGAACTGTAGGCAGTGAGTAAGTTTTCACTTATTGTCAATGTGCACGTTTAGAATTTCAGCGTCTGATATTTTCAGAAATACTAGGAGGTTATCCTCGACATGAGAAAAAAAACGCTTTCTTTATAATGCGAGATGTATGATTATAAGTGATATATTAGCATAAACCTGAACTTGTAACAGCTAATTATATTTTCTTGGTATTTCGAATCAGTTCCGGCAAACGTGATCCTAAGACATAATACACAACTAAAAACTGTGATGTTCCAAGTAAGCATTTTCGGTGAAAAAACACGAACATGAAACTTTGACCTTTTTCCCTTTACTGAAGAGATTAATTAATGAAAGTCACCAATAAGTATTAACTTTCAGAAGTAGGATACATGTTATTTATACCCTATTGTTGTATGCTTCATTCAAAAAGCATGTAGACAACTGACTCTTCTTCATGAGAAATTTAGTTCATGCATAAGATATTACAATATCCAGAATGTTTGCCATGATTACCGCAAATATATACACAGCTACGGCTTGACACATATGACGAATCTACTCCAAATGGTAGAGGTAAAGAGAAAAATTGATATTTCCCCCAAATGTCAGACATTCTGGAAAAAACAGACTCATCCCATTTATCTACCCGAAGTTTGCCTCAATTTACGCTCTTTTTATAGCTTGCTCGAGCTTGTACAGATCGTTTAATCTCTTCCTGCTCTTTTAGTTGTTCGTATACGGTCCAAGAAATAAATTGTAACACTAAAACGCACGGCACTCAGATCAAATACTGGCAAGTCCTGTTCATTTAGAAGATAAGTAAACTCATTTCAGTAAAATAGTCATGATATATGCTTAGACAAAGCACAAATAACAGGTACTACTATGTGAGATATTACGAGTTTCAGAAGCAGTATTTGCTGCTCATCCTATAAGTGTAAGGTCACCAAGATTAACAAAGACCACAAAGTTAGCCAGGGCTCAGCACACGAGAGGGTACCTTGTGTGCTGGGGAGTGTGAGGTCATCTGGAAGAGGAACGAATAAGAGAATAGATGGGATGGGCACTCAGTAATCTCATGGAGAGGACTAGTATTTAATAGAGAAATCAATAGACAGCAACCAGAAATAAAGCCAGCATGTGATCAAGACAAACCGATAAACGACACTAGAAGTTGTCAAAGTATAGTTGTTAATGCGGAACAACCCACCGGATTATAATTGCTTCTCGCCTGTACGACCTTGAACAGAAAAAGTTGCAATATCCAATATCTTTTTCACGAGCCAGTATGAACTACTGATTTCTTTGCACTCATTTATTCTTATTACGGTACGGTTCCAGGTGTTTGGTAGTGTCCAATGAGTGACTGTCTAGCAACTCGACTGTCTAATTCCAGTCATTTGGCAGATGGTTGTGTTTGTATGTCCCGTGATTTGTTTGAAGTTTAAATCGGCGACGGACTAATTCTACACGGTGGAGCTAAATTTTTCAGGTTATTTTAGAGCTCTAAACATCAGCTTCATTTGTTGTCGTTTTTCAACTGTTAACATTGGCAAAATGTAGCTAAAGCAACAACTCTAGTAGGATCAACATGGTCCCTACATACCAGACGCCGAGTCACTCTATCAAGCCTGTAGTTGTAGTGGTGCGCAAACACTCTTGAGATAAACATGCGATGACTGAAAAACATGGATTTCACCGGACCGCAATACTCAGAACCAAATTGACCATTTCTGTATCAACAAAAAGTTCAGAAGGACCATGGAGGATGTAAGAACCGAGAAGGGAGCTGACATAGCCTCATATCACCACTTGCTGGTCGCTAAAATAAAACTAAAACTCAAGGAACACTGGATAACGGGGCAGACATCACACAAGTTTAACACAGCCTTTCTTCGGGATATCGAAAAACTCAAAGAAATTCAAAATAGCCCTCACCAATAAGTTCCAGGCCTTTCAGGATCTACTCAATGGGGAGGAGGCAACATTGGAGAACAATTGGAAAAGGATCAAGGAGGCAATCACTTCAACATGTCACGACGTTCTGGGTCACAAGAGGTACCATCACAAGTATTAGATGTCTGTTGGTACTCTTGCGAAAATTGAGGAAAGGAGTAACAAGAGGGCAGCAATCAATGTCAGCCAAACAAGAGCAGAGAAAGTAAAGACACAAGCTGAATACACAGAAGCAAGCAGGGAAGTGAAGAAGATCATCAGAGCTCAAAAAAAGAAAATATGTGGGAGTTATAGCAGTGACGGCAGGAAAAGCTGCAAGAGACGGAAACTTGAAACAGTTGTACGAAACAACAAAGAAGCTCGCCGGAAACTATCGTAAACCACAACGACCAGTGAAAATTAAGGAAGGCAAAGTAATCAGCAACACTGAAGAACAGCGAAATAGGCGGGTAGAACACCTTAAGGAACTCTTGAACCGACCAGCTCCACTGAACCCACTCAACATTGAAGCAGCATACACGGACCTCCCAATTAATATTGGCGCACCTACAATTGAGGAGATCAGTATGGCCATCAGACAAATCAAGAGCGGCAAAGCTGCAGGACCAGACAACATTCCAGCAGAGGCAATGAAAGCAGATGTAGAAGCAACTGCGAATATATTTTACATCCTATTCAAGAAGATTTGGGATGAGGAACAAGTACCATCAGATTGGAAAGAAGGATACCTCATCAAAATACCAAAGAAAGGCGATCTCAGCAAGTGTGAGAACTACAGGGGCATCACTCTTCTTTCAATACCAGGCAAAGTCTTCAACAGGGTATTGTCAAACAGAATGAAGGACTTCGTAGAGACCCAACTTCGAGATCAACAGGCCGGATTTCGTAAGGATCGATCATGTACTGACCAAATT